CCAAAACATAAAAGTGCAAGGTGAAGCAGCAAGTGCTGATGTTGAAGCTGCAGCAAGCTATCCAGAAGATCTAGCTAAGATTGTTGATGAAGGTAGCTATACTTAACAATAAATTTTCTATGTAGGTAAAGCAGCCTTCTACTGGAAGAAGATGCCATCTAGAACTTTCATAGCTAGAGAGAAATCAGTGCCTGGCTTCAAACTTTAAATGACAAGCTGACTCTCTTATTTAGGGGTTAATGCATTGACCATTCTGAAAATCCTAGGGCCTTTAAGAATTACGTTAAATCTCGGCTGGGCGCGGTGGCTCAAGCCTGTAATCCCAGCACTTTGGGAGGCCAAGGCGGGTGGATCACGAGGTCAAGAGATCGAGACCGTCCTGGTCAACATGGTGAAACCCCATCTTTACTAAAAATACAAAAAATTAGCTAGGAATGGTGGCGCATGCCTGTAATCCCAGCTACTCAGGAGGCTGAGGCAGGAGAATCGCCCGGACCCAGGAGGCGGAGGTTGCGGTGAGCTGAGATCGTGCCATTGCACTCCAGCCTGTGTAACAAGAGCGAAACTCCATCTCAAAAAAAAAAAAGAATTATGTTAAATCTACTCTGCCTGTGCTCTATAAATTAAACAATAAAGCTTGGATTACTGCACGTTTATTTACAACATAGTTTACTGAATATTTTCAGCCCATGTTGAGACCTACTGCACAGAAAAAAAAAAAATTTGTTTTAAAATATTAGTGCACATTGACAATGTACCTGGCCACCCAAGAGCTCTGATGAAGATGTATAAGGAGATTAATGTTTTCATGCTTGCTAACACAACATCTATTCTGTAGCCCATGGATCACACAGTTAATTTTGACTTTCAAGTCTTATTATTTAAGAATTATATTTCTTAAGGCTATAGCTGCCATAGGTAGTGATTCCTCTGATGGATCTCAGCAGTATAAATTGAAAATCTTCTGTAAAGGATTCATTGTTTGTCATAGCCATTAAGAATATTTGTAGGCTGGGCATGGTGGCTCACATCTGTAATCCCAGCACTTTCAGAAGCCAGGGCGGATGAATCACTTGAGCACAGAAGTTCGAGACCAGCCTGAGCAAAATGGTGAAACCCCATCTCCACAAAAAATACAATTAGCTGGTCATGGTGGCATGTGCCAGTCCCAGCTACTCAAAACTGAGGCAGGAGAAACATTTGAGCCCAGCAGGCAGAGGCTGCAGTGAGCTGGGATTGTGCTACTGCACTCTAGCCTGAGCAATAGAGCAAGACTCCATCCACCCCCGTCCCTCCTCCCCCGCTGGTGTGGTGGCTCATGCCTGTAATCCCAGTACATTGGGAGACTGAGGCAGGCAGATTACAAGGTCAGGAGTTCAAGATCAGCCTGACCAACATGGTAGAACCCTGTCTTTTAAAAAAAATTTTTTAAATAAAAATAAAAGAGTAAAACCTAAAGTGTTTTTTAAAAATTGTAATTCATGAGAGGAGGCCAAAATATCAACATTAACAGGAGTTTGGAAAAAGTTGATTCCAACAGTCATATATAACTTTGAGGGGTTCAAGACTTCAGTAGAGGAAGTAAATGCAGGTGTGTTGGAACTAGTAAGAGAACTAGAAGCGTAGCTTAAAAATGGGACTGAATTGTTGCAACTCAAGATCAGACTTGAACAGATAAGGAGTTGCCTCTTAAAAATGCACAAAGAAAGTGGTTTCTTGCGATGGAATCTATTCCTGGTGAAACGACGCTGTGAACGTTGTTTAAATGACAGCAAAGGAATTACAATACTACATAAACTTAGTTGATAAAGTATTGGCAAGGCCTGAGAAGATTGACTCCAGTTTTTAAAGGAGTTCTACTGTGAGTAAAATGCTGTCAAATAGCATAGAATGCTACAGAAAAATGTTTTGTGAACAGAAGAGTTCACTGATGCAGCAAGCTTCACAATTGTCTTTTATTTATTTATTTATTTATTTTTGAGGGAGAAATTTTGACACACCTCTCATAGTAACTGATAGAAAAAAGCAGACAAAAAGATCAGTAAGAATATAAAATATTTAACCACATAATTAACAAACTCACTGTACCTGCAAATGTATAATAATAAACACATACATTTCTAATTAGAACACTTCAGCAAGTTTACTGTGAATAAAGCAAATTGTAAGTTGTCTTAGTTTTTAAAGATTACCACAGCCACCCCAACCTTCAGCAACCATGACCCTGATTAGTCAGCAGCCATTAACATCAAGGCAAAAATCTCCACTAGCAAAAAGATTATGATCCACTGAAGGGTCAGGTGATCATTAGAATGTTTAATAAGGTATTTTTTGGCCAGGTGCCGTGGCTCACATCTGTAAGCCCACCACTTTGGGAGGCGGAGGTGAGCAGATCATCTGAGAACAGGAGTTCAAGACCAGCCTGGCCAACATGGTGAACTCCCATCTCTACTAACAATACAAAAATTAGCTGGGTATGGTGGCACACGCTTGTAATCCTAGCTACTCAGGAGGTTGAGGCAGGAGAATTGCTTGACCCTGGGAAACCAAGGTTGCAGTAAGATGAGATCATGCCACTGCACTCCAGCCTGAGTGACAGAGTGAGACTCTGTCTCAAAAAAAATAATAATAGGCCGGGCGCGGTGGCTCAAGCCTGTAATCCCAGCACTTTGGGAGGCCGAGGCGGGTGGATCACGAGGTCAAGAGATCGAGACCATCCTGGTCAACATGGTGAAACCCCGTCTCTACTAAAAATACAAAAAATTAGCTGGGCATGGTGGCGCGTGCCTGTAATCCCAACTACTCAGGAGGCTGAGGCAGGAGAATTGCCTGAACCCAGGAGGCGGAGGTTGCGGTGAGCCGAGATCGCGCCATTGCACTCCAGCCTGGGTAACAAGAGCGAAATTCCGTCTCAAAAAAAAAAAAATAATAATAATAATAATAATAATAAAATAAATTGTTTTTTGTTTTTCAAGACACAGTCTTGCTCTGTCACCAGGCTGGAGTGCAGTGGTGCGATCTCAGCTCATCGAAACCTCTGCCTCCCAGGTTCAAAGGATTCTCCTGCCTCACTCTCCCCAGCAGCTGGGATTACAGGCGCCTGCCACCATGCCTGACTAATTTTTGTATTTTTAGTAGAGACAGGGTTTCACCATGTTGGCCAAGATTGTCTGGATCTCTTGATCTGGTGATCCACCCTCCTCGGACTCCCAAAGTGCAGGGATTACAGGCATAATCCACTACGTCCAGCCTAAAATATTTTTTATTTAAGGTACATACATTGTTTTTTAGACATAATGTCCTTCCACACTTAATAGACTATAATATACTGTAAGCATAACTTTTATGTGCACTAAGAAACCAAAAAAAATTGTGTGGCTTGTTTTGTTGCAATATTTGCTTTATTGGGTGATATGGAAATGAACCCACAATGTCGCCAAGGTGTGTTCACACCTGTGTGGACTTGGGCTTGTTATTTAACCTCTCTCAGCCTAAGTTTTCTCATCCATAAAAAGAACATCATAGTAAAACCTCCTTAGGATGCTTATTAATAGGACTAAATAAAATGTGTACATGTAATTATTTTTAACTATGCTAACATTTCAGGTAGATGAATTAGATTTTTACATAGGTAGATCAAGAATTTATTACCCAGGAGTGGAATAAGGATTTCTGTTTTCAATAAAAGACTAATGAGATTAAATGTGTTTCTACTGGCTTCACAATTTATGAGGAAAAGTAGCATTACATAAAATAAAATCCTAGATAAAAAGTGGTATCACTAGCTTACCAAATTTAAGTATTGGTTTTATCATAACTTTATTAAATCATGGCTTTCACATTAAGGAAAACTTTTAAATTAGCACATCCAAGGCCCTAGCAATAAGAACCTGATCTTCTAGCTTCCAGTGTTGTCACGAATTGTCTCTTCTTTAAAAAACAGTTCCTGTAAGACCATTTAAACCTTTCACTATGCTCAAAATGCCTTGATTTCCCCCCTTCTGTCACATTAGAAAGAGGGAGAAAATCGGCCAACAAACATGAAAAAAAGCTTATCACTGGTCATCAGAGAAATGTAAATCAAAGCCACAATAAGATACCATCTCACGCCAGTTAGAATGGACGATTATTAAAAAGTGAGGAAACAACAGATGCTGGAGAGGATGTGGAGAAATGGGAATGCTTTTACACTGTTGGTGGGAGTGTAAGTTAGTTCAACCATTGTGGAAGACAGTGTGGTGATTCCTCAAGGATCTAGAACCGGAAATACCATTTGACCCAGCAATTCCATTATTGGGTATATACCCAAAGGATTAGTAATTATTTTACTATAAAGACACATGCACATATATGCTTATTGCAGCACTTTCCACAATAGCAAAGATTTGGAACCAACCCAAATGCCCAACAATGACAGACTGGGTAAAGAAAATGTGGCACATATACACCATGGAATACCATGCAGCCATAAAAAAAGACGATTCATGTCCTTTGCAGGGACATGTATGAAGCTGGAAACCATCATTCTCAGCAAACTAACACAAAAACAGAAAGCCAAACACATGTTCTCACTCATACGTGGGAGTTGAACAATGAGAACACATGCACACAGGGAGGGGAACATCACACATTGGGGCCTGTAGCGGGCAGGAGGGATAGCATTAGGAGAAATATCCAATGTAGATGATGGGTTGATGGATGCAGCAAACCACCATGGCATGTGTATACCTATGTAATAAACCTGCATGTTCTGCATATGTATCCCAGAACTTAAAAGTATAATTTAAAAAAAAATTTTTTTAAGGAGAAAGAAAGAAAAATATAAAGGCCTTTTCACCATTTTTATGTATTCCCACTTAACCACTGCTTTAATAATTCACATAAAAATTATAGGACGTGAGGGCTCTGGAAGTCTTTACACTAGTCTCCCAGGGTTCCTCAGTGTCTGTGCTGGCTGTGTGTGTTATTTCTGGGCATCACAGAATGGGGTGGCCAAGGGACTGCAGAGCAACATGCCCAAGTTTTATTGTGACTACTGCAATACATACCTCACCCATGACTCTCCATCTGTGGGAAACACACACTGCAGTGATAGGAAACACAAAGAGAATGTGAAAGACTACTATCAGAAATGGATGGAAGAGCGGGCTCAGAGCCTGATTGACAAAACAACGGCTGCATTTCAACAAGGAAAGATATCTCCTACTCCACTGTCTGCTCCTCCTCCTTCCGGGACGATGATATCACCTTCCCCCAGTCTTCTGGGTCCTCCTCATCCTGGCATGATGCCAGCACCCCATATGGGGGGCCTTCTCATAATGCCAGTGATGGGTCCCCCTTCTCCTGAGATGATACTAGTGGGACCTGCTCCTGGAATGAGGCCACCCATGGGAGGCCATGTGCCAATGATGCCTGGGCCCCCAATGATAAGACCTCCTGCCCGTCCCATGATCTTGCCCACTCGGCCCAGAATGACTCAAAGGCCTCATTGTATCAGTTTTATATTACCTGTTCTTCTTCATCAGGAGATCGTGCTGCTGTGATGCTGCGTTTTCTAAACAGCATAAAGAAGACTTGGTCCCCTGTCCTATCAAAGAGAACAGCTTCGGAGGGGAGAAGTGGGACAAAAAAGATGCAGTTTTCATTTGTATTGGGAAATGTGAAAATAAAATTGTCAACTCTTTAAAAAAAAAAAAAGTACTTCTAAGTTTAATTGCAAAAATGTGTCTAAGTTGCTATTTTTTTTTCTTTTTTTTTCTTTTTTTTTTAAACAGCGTCTTGCTCTGTCACCCAGGCTGAAGTGCAGTGGCACAATAATAGCTCACTGCAACCTCAAACTCCTGGACTCAAGGAACCCTCCTGCCTCAGATCTTAGTAGCTAGGGCCACAGGTTCATGCCACTGAGCCTGGCTAATTTATTTTTATTTTTATTTTATGTATTTATTTATTTATTCATTCATTTATTTAAGAAAGAGTCTCTCTCTGTTGCCCAGGCTAGAGTGCAATGGAATAATTTAAATTTACAGAAAAGTTACAAAGATAGCACAGAGAGTGCCTGTATGTCTTTTATTCAGTTTCCCCTAATATTAACATCTTATATAATTATGGCACATTTGTCTAAATTGAGAGGCTGTTATTGGTTCATGACTATTAATTAATTTGCACAATTTATTCAGATTTCACCAATTTTTTTCTATGTATTTTTTCCTGTTCCCGGATCCCACCCAGGATGCTACATTACATTTAGCCATTAAGTCTCCTTATTCCCCTCTGGTCTGTGATAGTTTCTCAGTCTTGTTTTTGATGACCTGGACAGTTTTAAAGAGTACTGGTCAGATATTTTGTATAATGTCCCTAAATTTGGGTTTGTCTGATGATGTTTTTTCTCATGACTAGTTATAGGGTTATAGACCTTTAAGAGGAAGACCACAGAGGTAAAGTCCTCTTGTTATCATATGATGTCAGGGATACATATTAGTGAGATTACTTATCCCTGTGGATGCTAACCTTGATCATTTTGTTAAGGTAGTGTGTGCCAGGTGTCTCTGCTCTAAAGTTACTATTTTTCCCCTTTACATAATCTATTGTTTGAAAGTGAGACACTAAATTCAGCCCATACTCAAGCGGGGAAGCTCTAAGTTCCATCTCTGGATGGGAAACTGTTTACATGTATTATCTGGAAATCTTTAGTAAGGAAGATTAATCTTTTAAATATTTATTTATTTATCTATTCATATATTTACATATGTATGTCAGCATAGATCCAGGTATATTTATTTTATTATTTGAGTTAAAGTACTATACTATTTTGTTGTTATGATGGTTAGTTTTTTTTTTTTTTTTTTTTTTGAGACGGAGTTTCGCTCTTGTTACCCAGGCTGGAGTGCAATGGCGCGATCTCGGCTCACCACAACCTCCGCCTCCTGGGTTCAGGCAATTCTCCTGCCTCAGCCTCCTGAGTAGCTGGGATTACAGGCACGTGCCACCATGCCCAGCTAATTTTTTGTATTTTTAGTAGAGACGGGGTTTCACCATGTTGACCAGGTTGGTCTTGATCTCTTGACCTCTTGATCCACCCGCCTCAGCCTCCCAAAGTGCTGGGATTACAGGCTTGAGCCACCGCGCCCGGCTATGATGGTTAATTTTATGAGTCAACTTGACTAGGCTAAGGATGCCCAGATAATTGGTAAAACATTATTGCTTGGTATGGCTATGAAGTTGTTTCTCCTGGAAGAGAAAAAGGACATAGTAGGAAGATATTTGAATCAGTCAACTGAGTAAAGAAGATAGCCCTCACCAATATGGTGGGCATCATCTAAACTGCTGCATGATTAAACAGATCAAAAAGACAGAGGAAGGGTCAATTCACTCTCTCTTCTGGAGTCTGGACATCCATCTCCTCCTGCCCTTGGACAACAGTGCTCCTGGTTGTCAAGTCCTCAGACTTGGACTGGAACTACATCACTGAGTTTTCTGGATCTCCAGTTTGAAGACGGCAGGCTAGGCTGTGGGATTTCTTAGCCTCTGTAATCAAGTGAGCCAATTATATATATAAATTCCTGTTGGTTCTGCTTCTCTAGAGAACCCTAATATAGTTGTTCATTATCATGTGGTTGTTCCCATTATCATTTTAATGTCTTGATATATATTCTTTCACTTATTTCTTCTTGCTTAGATATAAACATAAATAAGCACGCAGGCATATAAATATGTTTGTGTATGTACTTACTCTACAGAAGAAATTTGATCTGGGAGTTAAGCCTGATAAAGATTGTTTTAGAAGCACCCTCAAGTAACTCTAAAGTACAGTCAAGATTAAGGACCACCAACCATCCTAAGCCAATTATGGTCGTTCTCATCAGGGCTGTCCTAGTTGTGTGGGGCCCCAGACACATTTTTTTTGTTGTTGTTGTTTTTTGGTGCAAAACCTCTAACTATGTAAACAAAGGAAATAAAGAATGAGCTAGAATGAAATTAAAGCTGAAAGTTCATGATGAAGAGAATAAGAGCATAAAAACTTCAGTTACAATGCAATGCACAGACTATGAAGCAGACAGCAAATACACAGAATGGAGAATTAGTATAGGTGAGTTGGAACAGGAAACACACAAAAAGAAATATGCCTCAATTCCAGACAGTTCTCTAGTTACAATTCTAGTGCCAATCCACGTTTCTTTTTACAATGAACTCTAAATTTATGAAAGTAACTTTGCAACCAAAAAAGTTCAATTATAGTATATAGATGTGAAAGAAAGAATGAATGAAAACAAGAAAGAGAATTGACCAATGCTGCAGGGATAAATAATGTAATGAAAGAAGTTAGCGGAGTATCCAGTTTATAGCCAGGAGGTGAGATCCACTCTGAGCTTTAGTTTGAAAAGTACATCAGGCCGGGTGCGGTGGCTCAAGCCTGTAATCCCAGCACTTTGGGAGGCCGAGGCGGGTGGATCACAAGGTCAAAAGATCGAGACCATCCCGGTCAACATGGTGAAACCCCGTCTCTACTAAAAATACAAAAAATTAGCTGGTCATGGTGGTGCGTGCCTGTAATCCCAGCTACTCAGGAGGCTGAGGCAGGAGAATTGCCTGAACCCAGGAGGCGGAAGTTGCAGTGAGCCGAGATCGCGCCATTGCACTCTGGCCTGGGTAACAAGAGCGAAAAAGCGAAACTCCGTCTCAAAAAAAAAAAAAGAAAGAAAAAAGAAAAGAAAAGTACATCAAAATCAATCATTTCAAGACCACTAGACACAGATGGACTTCCCCAGAGTTTGTAGATCTGGTCTTTATTTTTGTAGACTCAGAAACAGGAGCTGCCAGATTACTAAGTCTACTCTACCTCTTGGGTGTAAATACATTGATCAGGCTCATAGAAACTCATATATTAAAAACCTAACCAGGTGCAGTGGCTCACAGCTGTAAATTCCAACACTTTTGGAGGCTGAAGCAGGAGGATCACTTGAACTCAGGAGTTTGAGACCAGCCTGAGCAGCAGAGTAAGACCCTGTCTGTATTTAAAAAAAGAAAAGAAAAAGAAAAACACCCTGCAAAAAACCTAATATATAATCTGTTGCCATGGGATTAGAGTTTTTAAAAAAAAGAATATTAATTAATTTATTTATAAAGATAATTGACAATTAATGTGGGAATCCAAATTATTATTGAAAGATTGCTTCATAAGTATAAAATTAGGTCAATAGAAGTTGGTTGAAGTTAGTGCTATCAAGTTATAACAATCAGATGCATCCACTTCTAAGAACATACTTGCTGAAGAGCCACGATACTTAAGTCTGTGGGCTACAGCTGATGACCAATCTGAAGATACTGTAGTAGTCAAAAATAATAGTCCCCAAAGAGGTCCTCATCCTAATCCCCAGAACCTGTGAATATGTTATGTTACATGGCAGGGAGGACTTAAGGTTGCAGATGGAATTTAGGTTGCTAGTGAGCTGAATTTAAAATAAGAAAATTATCCTAGATTATCCAGGTATGCCCAGGGTAGTAATTACAAGGGTACTTTAAATGTGAAAAAGGAGGTACAATTTAGAGTGATGCAATGTGGGAAAGACTCAACTGGCCATGACTGGCTTTGAAGATGAAGGGGGCCATGAGCCAAGAAATGTAGGAACCTATATAAGCTGGAAAAGGCAAGAATATAGATTATCCTCTAGATTCTTGAGAGAGGAATACAGCCCTGTTGACACCTTAATTTTAGCCTAGTGAGACCCATCTATGACTTATGTACTTTTTTCTGTCTTTGTACAAGATTTTATTAAAGTTATCTAAGAGCAACATCCAGACTCCAGACACAGCTGCCAAGGAGACCCCATTATGCTATGGTGACTGGCTGGGGCATGGCAGGTGGCTCTAGCTTCCTACCCTTCTGTTCTGAGATAAGAGTGGTGGGGAGTATCTCATCTTTGGGTTCCACGATGCTCATGTGGTTGGACAGGGGCTTACTAGAGCTAATCTTACCAGGTTCCCAGGGCAGCAAGATCTTCATCTTGATGCCCAGAACACCCTGTTGGAGCAGCACATGGCACACAGTGATGTCAACATAGTATTAATAGGGTCCCTGCTGTGGATCATCAGGCCATCCACAAACTTCATGGACTTAGCCCTCTGTCCTCAGAGTTTCCCAGACACCATGACCTTGAAGCTTTTGACCCCACTCTCCATGGTGAACTGCAGCACCCCATAGCAGGCCCTCTGCACAGCAAACCCTCCTAGGAGTTCATAACACTAAGACTCTGCCTGGGCAATGGCACACAGATCTCTTGTGGTCACCTTTTCAGCATAAAGTTCTACTCTCCCCTCTGGAAAGCCAAACCTCTTCTGAACTACAGCAGTCAATTCCCAAATCTGCCAGCCCTTCTCACCAAGAACATTCTGTGTTCTGGTGGCTAAGATAATGACTTCTGTCCTAGTTGATGTAACTCAGACCTCAACTCCAGAGTAGCCATCTTCAGCCAGCTTCTGAGTAGAAATTCATTCAGTTCAGCTTTGAAGATGCCATCAGTGACAAACTTCCTCTTCTCGGAAAACT